GGCCTCCTTTTCTCTTTGGGGCTCCACATGCATGGGTGCTTCGTGTGTTTCAATGACAGACTCTCCTTATCAAGAAAGCTTTTAAAACTTTATTAATAAATCTTTTTACTGGGGGCTCTTACAGCTTTTACAACAACCCATACCCTGTTTCTCGGAAAATAAGACAGTGTCTTATATTAATTTTTGCTCCCAAAGATGTGCTAGGTCTTATTTTCAGGGGATGTCTTATTTTTCCATGAAGAAGAATACAGTACACATTTATTGTTGAACAATGAAAGGAAATTTATTACCTGTATATGGTACGGTAGTAGCTGTCATCACAAACCAGCATAACCAGACAAACTGTGAATCCTACAGTATCAAGAATTTCTTGTTACTACCAGTATTTCCATCTACAACAATCTGTGGTACATTTACTCATTCATTCAATGACAGCCATGTCATCATCTTTGGAACATCATCATAACAATCCAAACCCTTATTTTAGGGGAGGTCTTATTTTCTGGGGGATGCCTTATATTTCAGCGAGAGGCAAAACTGTAAGTAGGTCTTGTTTTCGGGGGATGTCTTACTTTCGGGGAAACGGTACATCCATTGTATCAAGCACATTTGTACATATGTTGCCATCATCATTTCCAAAACACTTTCTTTCTACTTGAGCCCTTGGTATCAGCTCCTCTTTCCGCCCCGCCTCCCTCCCTCCCTCGTGAATCCTTGATAATTTAGAAATTATTTTCATATTTTACACCATCCTCTGTCTCCCTTCACCCACGTTTCTGTTGTTCGTCCCTCTGGGGTGGGGGCGGGGTTGTATATCTATCATTGCGATCGGTTCCCCCTTACTCCCCCTTCTGCCCCCACCTTCCCCTTCCCCCTACCCTCAAAGTATCGCTACTCTCATTATTCATCCAGAAACCTTACCGCCACGTTGGTCCAGCGGCTGCTAAGCGGGAGGAGCAAGGCCCAGTGGAGGTGTGCGCGCTCCAGCAGCTTCCCACTTGCTAAGAAACTGCTTCTAGACCTCGGCTGGTCCTCACCTGAGCAGTGCAGGTGAGGGATCAGGGGCGGGATCAGGAGGGGCGGGCCGGGGGCGGGCCGGGGGCGGGCCGGGCAGGGTCTTGGGCATTCCCCTCCCGGTGAAGGTCAGATTGCGAAGCGCGGCTGGGCCACGTGGAGCGCGGTGAGTCCCCGGCGCAAGGGGTGTCTGCCGTCGGGCTCCATCTTGGCCGTCGGGGGTGGGCTTGGGCTTGGGGGTGGGGGCACTGTGCCCCTAATCTTGGGGCAGCTTTCAACCCCCGGAAGTGTTGGGTTGACGTGAACGTGGCTGGGTCCGCTGCCAGCTCAAGCCGCGCTGGGGACTCGGCGCCCCTTGGGCCCTCTAGCGCATGCAGGGAAAATCTGGGGGCCAGGAATGAAGTTTCGGGGCGGGCTGGCATCCGGCAGTGCGGACGCTCCAGTGGAGCCCGCATTTCTGAGCCGCCTCGCCGGACTCCGCGGGTGTCCGCGCTTGCTGGATGCCTGTGGCAGCGAGTCTGGTCTGGCTCGGTGGACCATGCGGAGGGAGCGGGACATCTCGGGTTTTGCAACGCAAGCAGCTTCCAGGCTGGGGTGCAGGAGCGGGGCAAGGGATAACTAACGGGGTGCCGAGGCAGGGGGCGTCCGCAGTTTTGGGGGGCGAGGACAGGGCTGTAGCTAGAAAGGGTGCTTGAAGGCCTAGGGCAGAGACCCCTGGGCAACATGGCTGGTTAACAGGGCTGGAGCACCGGGTGGGAGCTTCCAGCTGGCGGCGGCCCTGAGGAATGGAAGAGTTTGGGGGTCAGAGAAGGTTGGGTGGAGTAGGGATTGGCAGATAAGTCCCCACTGACCTTCCGGCTCCTAATGTGTCCAAAAGTCAGATGAGCCATTCGCAACCGAGGGCTGCGGGGGCTCGCCTGCCCTACCCCTATCCCAAATGGAAAAAAAAAACAGCAACACCCAGGAGCTAGGAATGGTTTCCAACGATTGCCTCCCCCTCCCCCTGCTTGCCACGGGCCCTTTTAGAATCCGAACCAAGGGCATTTTACAACAGCGCCCAGCCAATGCCATTTGGAAAGCTGAGGACAGCAGTGAGTGTAAGAAGAGGGAGGCCAAGTCCTTGAAGCTGCAATGCCGAGGCGCCCTGGTGGCGCATGCACCTGGGTTATGAGCTGCGCTGCTTAGCTAACTGGTTGGTTGAAGACCCGAGGATGTTGCTTCCGTAAACGACCGAGAAAACCAGATAGGGCAGTTCCTCTTTGTCGCTGGAGGTCACTCTGAGTCGGAGTCCAACTGGGATGCTGGTACCCAACAATAAACTTTCGCATCTTCCGCTGGAGAGTGAGGAAGAATCCCAGCCCTTGTGTGAGCACATCTCACGGCAGGACCCTGAGCAGGGATGAAGTAGAGAAACACAAGGAGGCAGGAAGGAAGGCCTTTGAATCGGGATGAATGGGCTTTCTTGACAACTTCAGTAACATCAGGTCAACTGGACAGGTTTTTAGCCTTTTGTTCCATAGTCTGGGTCACAGAGTCACTGATCTTAAAGGAAGTCTCCTTCATTCTCAATGAAGCCACATCAGAATGGAGATAACTGTCCAGGTCCCCAGGCGCATGCTTCCTTTCCAAAGCATAGTGTCGAGGCTCTGGATGGTGCTGTGGGACAATGAAAATCTTATGTCTCCGGCAATATTGAGACTCGGTTTTGAGTGGTCACTCGCCTGGGGACTGGGAGTCCCCTTCAAGAGCTTACATCGCTTGGCAGGGCATGGCATGGTTTTCATAATTGGTGTTCTCTGGTCAACTAAGGAAGCTCCCTTTTGCTAATAGGGTTTGTCTGTCTCTGACTTCAGGTCCCTGGAGGTGAGAACAAGCCAGTGGCTAGAAGCAGGGACCATCAGAAGGCAGATGCCCTAGTCCAGCATGACTGGATAATGAAAGCTGAATCAAGTGTGACCAAGACCCCAAGTCCTAGGGCCCAGGCTTTTAGACAGCCTTCCAGTGATGAGAAAGAGGAGCACATGGACCTTGCATCAGGAAAGGAAGACGGTCCCTTGGAGCAGCTATATTGGCCTCAGGGAGCAACATCCACTCCCGGGGCCTTTGGATGGTCTCCCCATTGCCTTGGTCACTGGACAGAAGAGAGCCCACCGAAGCAGTCTAGTCAGGAATGCACACAGCTCTACAGAGACACCGTGGAGGATGAGACGGCGGGCAAGGTGGTCACAACCCTGGAGGAAGCTGTGAGGAGAAAGTGCCGGTGGATGGCATGGGTGAAGGTGAGGCGATCAGCCGAGGAGAGGGTGAACTCAGGTCCTGGGATCTAGGAACTCTTTCACCCATCCCCCCCTGCCTGTGGGTCAGATGAGGTCCCAGCTTGTTCCAGATGAAAAGAGATGGGCTGCAAGGCGTTTCTCAGCCTCCTCCTCACTCCCAGCACCATCTAGGCATCCTGTGTGGAGACCGAAATGCATCAGAATGGCAGCCTTTCCACGCATGCGCCTCTTCCTGATGTATTTCTGTCTCTCTTTCCCTGCCCTCCCCAAGCATTCCCTCATCTTTACTTTCCTTCCTTGTCTCAGTGTTCCCAGCCTTATTCCCATTTTTTCTGATTTCCCTCCTCCACTGTGTTTTGCTGTGTTTCCTCTTAGCCTTTAGTTCTCTGAACCTTGAGACTGACTGTCTCAACACATGCATGTTTCTCCTCGACCCCTAACTCTCTCCTGTTATCCCAGGAGCCAGTCACCTTGAAAGATGTGACCGTGAACTTCACCCAGGAGGAGTGGAAATGTCTAGATGCCAGTCAGAGGGCCCTCTATCAGCATGTTATGTCAGAGACCTTCAGCAATCTGGCATGTGTAGGTGAGGCGCTAGTTTCTTTGGCAAACCCCTTATCCCAGGATACTGAGACACCTGTTTTCCCTGGGAAGGTAGATCAGCTAGCTCATAATGAGCTTCACTGATCCCTGGTTCTAAACCTTCCAGGTGTGGAAGGTCTGCTTCACCAAGTTCAGGGGTCCAAGGAAAAGAAGAAATGAAAGCATAGATCGACACTTGTAACACAATGGCAATGTTGTTGGAATATGCAAATTTCCCTACTCATCTAATGAATATTTTTATCACATTAACCAACATTTACTGCGTCACTCATGTGTGTCAGGGACTTTGCTAGGATCTGGCTTTTCAAGTATCTCTCCTCTGCCTCTTCTGTTCTCTGTGTTCCCAAGTCTACGGTTCTTAAACCAAGGATATAGAAGTAGATGATTGGCCTATCCCCATCAGATGTGAAGGAGTCAAGCCTGGGACAACTCAACTTTCTCTTTCCTTAGCCAGAGTCTTCCTATCTGAGCCAGACCTGATTACCAAGGCTGAGCAAGCAGAGGCACAGCAGACAACAGAATGCCGTTCCTCAATAGGAGACGCTCTCCCTTTAGGTAAGAATTATGCAGGAGAGAGGAAGATGAAGGAAGCCAAAGGCATGCCCTGGAAGGGTGGATGACTGCATGAAGATTAGGGCTGTGTAAATCCTCTCCTGGTCTGTGCCTTTCCAGCTGGCCAGATTTGGAGCTGTCAGAGATCTGAGATCATCAGCCTTAGGGCCTTAGCTTTAATGGATTATTGAAGCCACTCAGGACAAGGGAACGTTTTCTGTTTCTAAGCATTGAGAAACTACATCTCAGTTACTTCTGTCAGTGGTTATCCTTTGATTTACAAGTTCTTTGTGAGTAAAAGGAAGCCAGGAAGATCCGTATGATGCTGAGTTGGAGTTGAGAAAGTTGTTCCTGAGACTAGAGTAAGAAGTTGAGATTTCAGGCCATGTTGATCATACTTCCTGATTTGGTGGGATCTATACATCTCATACTGGCTTAGTTATTGATTGCTTAATTATAGATGGCATCTCCTTTCCCTCTCCGCTGTTGTGTGGTCACTGGTGGGTATCTGTTGTCTATAGATTGTGGGTGGTATGGTAAACAAGGGGGAAATCATTTCAAGAAGGGTGAAGATTTTTATTGCCCGTGCCATTGTTGAAAGATTCCAGTAAAATTTTTATTGGATTTTAATTTAAAAGAACAAAAGTATATTCTTAATCTTTAGCCTATGAGTTCTAAGGGTGTGTGGGTAAATGTTTTCAATGAGAGAGGGAGGGTATAAAGATGGGAAGTAGTTTGGGTAGAATGGAAAGCTTGTGTTGGGGTTCTCCTGGTGAATCTCGGGTTATTCTTCATTACTACAGGAAGCAAGGAGTATGAAGAACTCCAGAAACAGAATCAGGGTCCGTGTGATAAGACTGGCAGTAAAAGGGTCTTCCGTGCTGGGAAGTGGGATGGCCAGAGCCCACCCTCTGCTCCAGCCAGGTCCATGGCCAGGCCCCAAGTGCTCCTAGCACCCCGGGCTGGATCATCTTTTTGCTGCTACACTTGTGGCAAGTACTTCAAGGAGCACTCCCAGCTTCTTAGGCACCAATTTGTTCATGACCCCAAGTGGACTTGTGCCTGCAACCAGTGTGGGAAATCCTTCAGGAGCCTCAGGAGCCTCAAGTACCACAAACGTGTGCACCTTGAGGGGAAGACCTTCTGCTGTTCCATCTGCGATAAGACGTATTGCGACCCCTCTGGACTGAGTCGCCACCGCCGGGTCCATCTTGGCTTCCGGCCCCATCCATGCCCCCTCTGTGGGAAAGGCTTCCGGGACCAGTCCGAACTTAAACGTCACCAGAGGACACATCAAAGCCAAGAGCCCGTGGCGGGGAAGCAGGAGCGTGTTGTGAGGACTCCAGATCTCCCAGCTGCATCCGGGAGCCATGCACCTAACTCTAGGATCCAGGAGCTCGGGAACGAAGCCAGGGCACCTGTCACTTGTTACCAGGCACCAGTAGCTAGGACCCAAGAGTCTGTATTCAGAACAAAGGGTCCTGTGGCCCAGGCCCAAGTCACTATTGCTAGTAGCCAAACACGCATGTCCAGGAACAAAGTGATCTTTGTGAAAGCTCAGGCACCAGTCCCTATAGCCCAAGGGCCTGATCCCAGGATCCAGGATCCCAACACTAGAGCCCCTTGGTTACTCAGCCCAACCCTGACTCAACAAGACTTACAACATGCAAGGTGTTTTCTTGTCCCCACTGTTCCTTCACATTTAGCAAGAAAGCCTATCTCAGCCACCGGGACACCCACGTCACAAAGGAGCATAATCGCTGCTTCCACTGTGGTAAGTCCTTGAGCTCATTTTCTAAGCTGCTCAGGCACCAGCAGACCCACTGGAAGCAGAAGATCTACTGCTGCCCTATCTGTGACCTCTGCTTTGGGAAGGAGGACCTTGTGGGTCACTGGAAGAGCCTCAAAGTTGAGGAGCAATGCCTGGGAAGTCCCCACAAATGCTGGTTGTTCCTGGGCCAGTGGCTTGGCTTCTTTCCTCCCACAACAGGGAAGGATGGGAAGCTTGGAGACAGTGGGTCTTCTCCAAGGATCTCTGCCCCCAGGAAAGGCAAGATAAGGGAGAAGCAAAGGACACCAAGAAAGGTCTTGGGACATAAATAAATGGCCTTTCACAGAGGTTTCTGTGTGCTTGGTTTTCCTGAGGGCTGACCTCTATGGGGAGGAGGCTAGTAGAGGGAGGTGACGAGGAGATGGAGAAGAGGGAGGTGGCACAGGGAAGCGTTATGTTATTCATTAGCACCTATTCTGTTCCTTTGTGTTTGGTAGACCACCGACTAGTCACTGTTGAACAAATGAGTGCATACTCTTGATGAGAGTGATGGGAGGAAAAGGCTGAGAAGAGGGGCAAGAGCGAAGGACCCAGGGAAGATGTTGACACACAGGAGGGAGACATTCTGAAGCAGATGTGCTGCCAGGCTCTTTTTGCCTCGTGCCTCCAGCTCCTTGGTAGTTAGATGACAGGGTGAGAGTCCAACGAGACGCTCTCGCCAGAAACACCCCCCTTTGCAGAGTTCCTGTTCTTCCACTCTTCTTCTGCCCACCATACTTTCCAGCAGGGTGTCCTTTGGTGAGGGCATTGCTGGAGGGCTTCCAGGTGGAGACTGGAGAGAAGCATGGGATGGTGTGCGCAGCAAAATGGAAGGAAGGAGTTGAGAAAAGGGAAAGGTGTTTGATGGAAGAAGGAAAGTCCATCTTGCTGGGAGTCACAGTATTTCTCCAAGGGCAGATTGGGATGCCCAGAGCAAGGAGGCCCCCCTAGGGTGCAGCCTGATGGATGAGACACCCAAAAGGACCCGTCCTGGAGTTGCTGAACTCCTCTTCTGCTGTGACATCACTCAGAAGGGGTTTCCTAGAAGGAAGAGAAAGGAACTTGGGGGGAAAAATACACCATTTGTTTGATTTGTTCCCCCCTTCAAAGTGGCTAGAATATAGCAAACCTGTCAGTAGGTATAAATTGGAATTCGTGAAGTAGGGAAATCATGTTGGAATTGTGTGTCTGGAATTGAGGCAGGAGAGGCACTGGGCAGCTGCTCGCATTGGGCATGAAAAAGGAAGCTGCCAATAGCAGTGGCAATGGAGGTGGAGCAAACCAGGCAGCAGATGAGTCCATCCCCAGCTTCCTTCTCTGCCTGCCTGCTGCACCCCCTGACTGCTGGTTTCTCCCTCCACCCATGTTCACCAGCCCCCTTCTCCTGTGCTCTGGGAGGTTGACCCTTCAGCAGCCCTCCTTATTGCGCCTGTCTTGTTCCTGGCTTTTTGTCAGATCATAAGAAGAAGACTTACTCAGCTCTTCAAGGAATTGCCCTGAAAAGAGAGAGACAAATAGGTGATTGGTGGACAATGACTAGCTCCCCACCCACATCTCCCCATGGAGATCAGACCTCTTTCCCGCTAGAAAGGGGCCCCACAGAGCTCAGTCAGTAGTGCTCTTCATGGTGTGGGCAGAGAAGGGGGGAAATCTTAGCATCCCAAATCTTGAGTCCTGGCCCCGCCCTCCACCTTCGGGCATTAGTCCTGTGTCCTGGCACTGCCCCCTCACCTGCTAATCTTCGATGTAGCCAGTTGTAGCAAATGAGCAAGGCAACCAGGGGTCCAAGGAATGGAACAATTACAAAGAGGGTGATTTTCCAGGGTGGCACTCTCAGAAAGTGGGGATCTGGAGGGGGGTGGGGGGTGGGCGGAAACAGGATTAGTGACCTCTGCCCCATATCCATACACCTCCATTATTATTAACTTTATTAACCTGCGGTCCATGGACACCAAAAGTACGTAAGGATAGAATCCAGCGGGCCTAGGAACTTGGGTAGGAAAACCAACTCTTTTCACTAGTGTCTAAGTGAATTGAGCTCTTTCTTCCACTAATTCTAGGAAACGGAGCCATGGTATTACTGACCACCATTGAGACTTTCTTCTCAATAGAAATCAAGGTATCTGGGGAGGAGGTGGGGAAAGGAAACAAAAAAAATGATGAAAATAAGGAAGAAATGGGTAGGGGGGCAT